CAAAAAAAAAAAAAAAGAAAGAATTGCAGTGTTGCATGATTCAGATACAGGTATTATCAGACATCAAAAATCAAATAAGTATGCTTAATACATTGAAAAATACTACATGGTGAGAACTCATCGCTACAAAAAAAAATTAGCCAGTCGGGCCGGGCGCAGTGGCTCACGCCTGTAATCCTAGCACTTTGGGAGGCCGAGGTGGGTGGATCACCTGAGGTCAGGAGTTCAAGACCAGCCTGGCCATCATGGTGAAACCCCATCTTTAAAAATAAAGAAAGAAAGAAAGAAAAGAAAAAAAAATTAGCCAGTCATGGTGACATGCATGTACAGTCCCAGCTGCTCAGGAGGCTGAGCTGGAAGGATCACTTGAGCCTGGGAAGTTGAGGCTGCACTGAGCCATGATCACGCCACTGCGTGGTAGCCTGGGTACCAGTGAGATCCTGCCAAAAGAAAAAAAGGAAGAAAGAAAAGAAAATACTAGAAAAGGAGGCCAGGCCGTGGTAGCCCATGCCTGTAATCCCAACACTTTGGAAGGCCAACGCAGGAGCATTGCTTGAGCCCAGATGTTTGGGATCAGCCTAAGCAACGTAATAAGACCCTGTCTACAAAAACAGAAACAAAAAAAATTAATTAGCCAAGCATGGTGGTACACACCTGTAGTCACTTGAAACCAGGCGGTCAAAGCTACAGGGAGCAGTGATTGGACCGCTGCCCTTCAGCCTGGGCAACAGAGCGAGGCCTCGTCTCTAAAAACAAAATAGCTGCTGACCCCAGAGTCTGACCACCTGGGCAGTGGTGACTCCCAAGGCAGCCACAGTGGAGGGCAGCTGACCCAGCCACGCCCCTTCCACAGTCAGAATGGGGGGCCGTTGGCCGGGCGCGGTGGCTCACACCTGTAATCACAGCGCTTTGGGAGGCCAAGGCAGGTGGATCACTTGAGGTCAGGAGTTCGAGACCAGCCTGGCCAACATAGTGAAACCCCATCTCTACTAAAAATACAAAAATTAGCTGGGCATGATGGCGGGTGCCTGTGATCCCGGACACTCTGGAGGCCGAGGCAGGAGAATCACGTGAACCAGGGAGGTGGAGGTTGCAGTGAGCCAAGATCGCACATTGCATTCCAGTCTGGAGGACAGAACGAGACTCCATCTCAAAAAAAAAAGAACCAGGGGCCCTGCAGCCTTTACAGCTCCAGACCCCAGCAGTGATGCCTGCTTCAGAGTCGTCGTCTGCTCCTGAAGAGCCCTGGGCTTAGTCCGTACCCTAAGCCCAGGACCTGCTCTGGCATGCTCACCAGGGCTCCCCATGGTGACCTGGCCTGGCCAGCAGCCCAGCTGCTCTGACCCCACCTGGCAGTGCAACAGAGGCCAAAGGAGAACGCCCACCTGCACGTGGCTTCTCGAATGACGTCTGTTCAGGTGCAAAGTCAGCAAAAAGTGCTGTTCAGACTTGCAAGGGAGCTGCTCTGCTACCAGGACCTTGCTGACCAATGGCCGGCCAGTGCCCCCAGAACCCAACGGCAGAAACCAGGTCGGTGCCCCCAGAACCCAGCGGCAGAAACCAGGCCAGTGCCCCCAGAACCCAACGGCAGAAACCAGGTCGATGCCCCCAGAGCCCAGCGGCACGTGGCGACCAGGAGCCCGCCATGGGGAAGCGCTGACTGGACATGCCAGCAGCTCGTGCCTGTAGTGAACACACACCTGCAGCTATGGGAACTTAGGTGACCAGTTACGATCATGAGAGAATAAAAATCCCCGAAAGATGATATCGTTAGAATTTTTTGGACTTAGCTGTCCTTCCCACTCCAGCATTTAATACCCTCGCCCTGGGGCTGGCAGGTTGTGAGGAAATGGAGCTCTTTGGGAGAGGGCTTCCTGAGCCCTCGTGGCACGCTGGGGACTGGCTGCACCCTCTCTGGGCCTTGGTCCCCCAAGGGACCACATGGACGGTTCCACCGTGTTCAGGAAGGACAGAGCCCATGGTATGGGTTTGGGGGTGGTGACCATGTCCCAAGGGGGCCTGGGCTGCGCTGCCTCCCCCGACAACCCTCACCTCTGGATGCCCCTTCTCTTCTAGAAGCAGAGAGATTAACCACGACAATACCGCCCAGCGAAGAACAGACGGAGATAACACTGGGGGAGGTCAGCCGGCCCAGCCTGCTTAGGCCTTAATATACCTGCGGCAAGCCGAGACACCACCCGCCTTCCCCCAGCCCCAGCTGCACCCCAACCCACTGGCCCTCACCCCCAGGTCGCCTTTCCATCTGACCAGAGATAGGCCGGGCTCCGCCCACCAGGGACTTGCAGACCCCAGGCGTCTTGTACTGTCAGCTGGCATGGGGGCCACACCCTCCCCAAGCCGGGCAGTGCAGGAACAGAGCCACAGAGTGTTTCCCGGGTGTGGGGCACTGGGTGAAACGGGATAGACACTGGCAGTGGCCTCCCTGGCTAAGACACATAACCTCCTGAGCAGGAGAGGGTGTGGGGGAAATTCAGGCTGCCTCCAGCTCCCCTGGCTGAGATCCCACGACAGTAAGTCCTCCAAGGGCTGGGCCAGGCCCAGGACCTGTGTGGCCAAGTGGCCTCCCTGGGACCCGGGTCCCACCACCTTCCAGCCTTGCAACTGTGCGCCATTGTGAGGGCTGGGAGGGGATCCTGAAAGCCATGAAGCCTGGCTGACCCCTTGGCATCTCCTCCGTGCAGATAACACAGGGGGACATTGGCCCCTTCAGCTCCATCAGGGTGCCCATCATCTTCACCCCAATGGTCCCAGGAGACATCCAAGCCAGGTTCAAGGTCACGTTTAAGAACCACCAGTGCCCAACGGTGAGTACTCTGCTGCCACGCCACACGCATCACCCCAGGGGGCCCCTCCCTCCACAGCCTGGTGCAGGGGCTGCCCCTCCCTCCACAGCCTGGTGCAGGGGCTGCCCTTGGCCACAAGGTCACCATTTGCCCATGCTTGGATGGCCAGTTGGTGGCACGGATGGCTGGCACCACAGTTCACCACACACACACACACACGAGTGTGCACACATGCACGCTGGCATACACATGTAGGCACAGGGACACAGACATATGCCCATCCAAAAACATGCATGTTACACACATGCACTCAGAGTCCTTACACACACATGCACACACAGAGTCCTTACATGCGCACATTTACACAGAGCCCTTACACACACATGTACACATGCACACTTACAAAGCCCTTACACACACATGCACACACAGAACCCTTACATGCTCACATCTGCACAGAGCCCTTACACACATGTGCACATGCACACACACAGAGACCTTGCACACACATGCACACACAAAGCCCTTACATACACATGTACACACGCACACACACAAAGTCCTTACACATGCACACACAGAGCCCTTACACACACATGTACACATAGAGCCCTTACATGCTCACATGTACACAGAGCCCTTACACACACATGGGCACATGCACACACTCAGAGACCTTACACGCACATTTCTTTTTTGAGTCAGGGTCTCGTTCTGTCACTCAGCCTGCAGTGCAGTGGCAGGATGACAGCTCACTTCAGCCTCTAACTCCAGAGCTCAAGTGATCCTCCTGCCTCAGCCTCCCAAGTAGCTGGGTATTACAGATGTGTGCCACCGTGCCTGGCTAACTTTTGTGTTTTTAGTAGAGACCAGATTTTGCCATGTTGGCCAGGCTGGTCTCGAACTCTTGACGTCAAGTGATCCACCTGCCTTGGCCTCCCAAAGTGTTGGGATTACAGGCGTGAGCCACTGCGCCTGGCCATAGGCGACAACTTTCTATGTTTAAAAATTCCTCTGCACCCCCTACATACCCGCTCTGCCCCTTGGGCTGGGGCGGTCGCCTGTCCCAGGCGGAGGCTTCTGGCATCCTTGAAAGTGTTCAGAGTCCTCGGCTCACCCCACAGCACCAGGACAGCACCACTGCGTAGGCGGCTTCCTGCTGGGCTACTGCGCTTCCCCAGCCCGGGCTTGGCAGCCCTCCCAAAGCCTCACTCATCCTCTCCATCCTCCTGAGGCCCCAGGAGTCAGTGCTTGGGGAGAAGCAGATCTCACGATCTCGGCTGACTGCAACCTCTGCCTCCTGGATTCAAGCGGTTCTCGCGCCTCAGTGTTCCACGTAGCTGGGACCACAAGCACACGCCACCATGCCTGGCTACTTTTCGTATTGTATTTAGAGATGGGGGTCTTGCCATGCTGCCCAGGCTGGTCTCAAACTCCTGGGCTCAAGCAGTCCTCCCACCTTGGCCTCCCAAAGTGCAGAATTACAAGTGTGAGCCACCGTGCTTGGTCAGAAAAAGGTTTTTTCTAAACACCTGAACATGTTAATTGGTATGAAGCTGAGTGGTAGGTCCTTGGTGATCCAGTATTCTGTTCTAGTAATATTTGAATATTCTGAAAATAAAAAGAGGCCAGGAGGCCGGGCGCGGTGGCTCACGCCTGTAATCCCAGCACTGTGGGAGGCCGAGGCAGGCAGATCACGAGGTCAAGAGATCGAGACCATCCTGGTCAACGTGGTGAAACCCCATCTCTACTAAAAATACAAAAAATTAGCTGGG